TCATAGTGATTGTCCTGTTTCACCCATGTAGGTGTTGTTGGGGTATGCAGTGCACTGGATGAGGTACATCACATGTGATAGGTGTGTGTACAACCCATGGATCTTGACAGGTGTGTGGGTATTGGTCCTCCTAGCAGTGAAGATATAGCTGCAGGTTTTGCATCAGTTGTTCTGGAAGGGTCTGGTGCTGCTTTGAGTTGGTGGGGAGCCTGCTTCTGATGGATGTGGGGGTCTGTTTGAAGACCAGGGGAGGGGGTTCGGGAAAGATTTCTTTCTGGATGTGGTCCCCATCCAGTAGGGGTTGTAATTGTTACCTGATAATCCCCGATGGGCCCTGGCGTGGTAGGGTGTGCCGTAGGAGTGTCTTTTTGAGGCAAATACATAGATGACTTGATGCAAATATATAGATGAGTTGCCAAACGAGTGTCTTTTTGAGGCAAATATATAGATGAGTTGATGCACCCCCGGAAGACTTCTGCATCCCTCTGGGGCATGTGCAGAGTGTCTTTTTGTTGTTTTTGTTAGACACTGAAAGTCAATAAAGACGCTGGATTTATGGTTTATTACAGCAACCTATGACATGCTAACCCTCCTTTGTCCTACGCCTGCAGAGGTGTGTTAAGTGCTCACTTCACCTTGAACGGTCTCTTACAACATAGCTGGAGGGAACGCTGCAGGGATTTCAGACAAGCTGACAGTGGCCTGGGCTACATGCAGAGATTGTGCCACTGCAACTCTGTTGGTTAGAGGAGTGACGTGTTACCATGTACTTATACTGGTATGCTCTTAGCCTGGCTGCAGTTATACCAGGATAAAGGGGCCTTACACTACCAGAATTGCTGTATGTGGTGTACTGCGTTAACTCTAGCGGGGTAGTTGGTGATACAACGTTCTGTTACTACACTAGCTCTGATCTAGAACTTGACAAAGGGGGTCCGTATCCACCCCCATTTTACAGGTGGGGAAACTGAGACATGGACAGGGGCGGTGGCAAACCAGGAATAGAACCCAGGTGTCCTGGTGCCCAGGTCAGTGCTCTGTCCACTGGGTCACAGAGTCTCCTTTGGTTAAAGTGACTGGAGGTGGGGGATGCAGCAAGGGGCCCTCAGAAGCGGGGCTAAGGATTGTTTTGTAAGTGGACTCAGGGAAGGACAGTGAGGGTGGCGCGTGGCATGGGGATGCAGCCCTGATTTGGGTGGGGGTGATCAGGGGCATGGCCAGCCTCTAACCTCTCCTCCCTGCCCACAGGAGCCAAACCCCGAAGACCCCCTGAACAAAGAGGCTGCCGAGGTCCTTCAGAACAACAGACGCCTGTTTGAGCAGAACGTGCAGCGCTCCATGCGGGGCGGCTACATCGGTTCTACCTACTTCGAGCGTTGCCTCAAATAGAACTGACCAGCTGCCCCCACCCCTCCCACGAGGGACTCTGCCAACACCGCTGCCTTCAGCCACCGGGGGGCACAGGAGCCTGGCACTGGCAGGGCCCCCCTCGCTGCTCACGGCCTCTGCCCCGGCAGCCTTTCCCCCCCACTCCTGCCCCCTGGCTGGAGGGGAGGTGGCTGCTGAGGGATGGGGCAGGGCTTACATTGGAATCCCCTGCCCCACCCATGCAGCCCCCTCTTCCCTATTGGTCGCTCTCCTGCTGGTTTCCCAGCATGCTCAGACCCCGAGCAGAGCGCCCCCTAGACATGGCCAACGTGAGCGCACTGGCTCCTTCCCCTGGCTTTGCAGAGCGTATCTATTTATTAGGCAGGGGGCTGCAGCAGGAGTGTAGGGCAGGCCGGGGGTGCATGCAGTCCTGCCGTGGGGGGCCGGGCCCGCCCTCCCCTTTTACATCCCTCGTGTGTCTGGTTTTTAAAAACACAGCACCCCACTTACAGCAAAGCGAAGGCTGATTATTCAATGGGACCGGGCTGGAAGTGGGGCCTGGGCTGATTGAACCCTGCCCCCTTCTGCCCCAGGCCTCACCCCCCCAATGAACTGGTTCTTTGCCACGCTGGGGCCTCCTGCCAGCCCCGGGGCCATGAATCCACTGTACTCTAGTGTGTCGGGTTATTAAAGGGGAATGTTAGCGCACCTCACTGCCCAGGGCCTGTCTGTCCTCATTGCTCCGCCGCCCCCCTCCTCCCTTTCAGATGGGGTGGAGGGGTGTCTCTCCTCAAGGGGCTGCCCACCCAGCTGCCCCAGCAGGGGCCACATAAGTCCATATCTTGCCCAAGCTGCAAGGTGGGCTCCAGCTCATCGCCCAGGCCTCTGGCCTGCTGTGCTGTTGGAAGTGGCTTGTGAGTAAGAAATGGGCTTGACCCTACTGCTCCCCAGCACAGCGGGTAGCTGCTCCCTCTCTGCCCGCTTCTGCAGCTGGCTTAGAAACCTCCAAGCCTTGTTAGCGGGCGCTTGCTGCCCAAGCAGACCTGAGAGAAGGGCGGATGTGCGATGGTTGTAGGGTAAAGCCATAATACGGGCTGATGAGATGCAACTGCTGCCCCCTCTGGGCTAGGAAAGGAAGGGCTGATCTCAGCTGCTGGGGTGAGAATCAAGTGGCCAAGGGGGGCCCAGCTGCCTGGAAGTGGGGGATGGACGTCCAACCTCTGGCTGAGTCAGCAGCTGCCTCTTCCCCGGCAGCAGAGCTGGCTGGGGCTCAGCATGGAGGGAGAATTCCCCATCAGAAGGAATAGGGGGCAGCCAAAGCTGGGCCTTGTTGGCAGGCCTGAGGCAGTGTGAAACGTCTCCCCTGTGTCCCACAGGGGCTGAGCCATGGTGGCAGGGGGCTTGGTTCCGCATGGAGCAGGGCAGGCAGATGAGACGGAGGGGTGGGGGCTGTTTCCTGCCCAGGAGCAGGGAAAGGGCTGTGGCCACGGGGCCTCACTGGGCTGGGGCTTCATGGGTGCTAAGGCTGGAAGGGATGACTGATCATCTAGTCCCAGTGCTGGCCGCCCCAGGCTCTCACCCTGCCATTTCTGCAGGGACACCCCGCCACTCCCTTGGGTGGCCTCTGGGGATATGGGGTTGGCCCTTGCATTGCTATGGGTGGTGTACTGCTTGTGTGTGCAGCCCTGATGCCAGGAAGGCCCAGTCCCTGCCCAGAGGGGCTTCCAGCCCTATGGGGCCATGTAGCAGCCTGGGGCCAGGTTGGGTGAGCGGGAGTACGAGTGCCCCAGAGGGATGGCAGGACCTCGTAGGGAGCTGCATAGTTCAGAGGGCTGTGGGGGGAAGGGCCCTGCCAGGGGATGACCTACTTGGGAGAGGAAATGGGGTTTATAAGCCCCCCTTGGGCAGGTGCAATGATCATGAGGTGAGAAGAACCAGGGGAGTGGGGTGTCTGAATTTTGATCCAGTGGTGTCCCTGCAATAACAGCATTTGGTTCCTACAGCCCACCCCTACCCATAGCCTCACCCCAATGTGTCCCCTTACCCCCACTCAGTCCTCCCCCACACTATCCCTCTGAGGAGGTTGTGTGGGAATCAGATGGGCTCCTCCTTCCCACCTCTGCCCCAGCTTGTCTCCTTCCCCCCCCAGCCTCCCACTAGCACTAACCAGCCGCCTGCTTCCCACACAACCTCAACTGAGCTCCTGCTTCTCCCTGCCCCCAACCCCCCTGCATCTTAGCCCATGCAGCCTTATCTCCTCAACCCATTTCAACCCCTGCTCAATCTGCCTCCCAGACTGACTGTAGCTCAATCCAACCATCCCAGCCCCCTCCAACACAGCCCCTGCCCCCACCTCCCTCTCCTCTCCCCTGTCCTGCTCCCAGCCCCTTCCCCTCTGCTCTACCCAGGCCCACCCTGATCTGACTCCTATCAGCTCCCTGCCCAACATACCCCAGCCTTCACGCCCCTCCCCCTGCCGCCAGACCACTATCAGCTCCCTGACCAACCTACCCATCTAGGTTTGCCAGGTGTCCGGTTTTCAGTGGGAACTTGTAGTCAAAAAAAGAAAAGGAGTACTTGTGGCACCTTAGAGACTAACCAATTTATTTGAGCATGAGCTTTCGTGAGCTACAGCTCACTTCATCCTGATGAAGTGATGAAGTGAGCTGTAGCTCACGAAAGCTCATGCTCAAATAAATTGGTTAGTCTCTAAGGTGCCACAAGTCCTCCTTTTCTTTTTGCGAATACAGACTAACACGGCTGTTACTCTGAAACCTGTAGTCAAAAAGGGACCCTGGCGGCTCCGGTCAGGACCGCTGGCTGGGCCGTTAAAAGTCCAGCTGGCGGTGCAGCAGGGCTACTGCGAAGTAGTCGGCGTGTCTCTCTGACTCCTAGGCATAGGGGCGGCCACAGGGGCTCCATGCGCAGCTCCTGCCTGCAGGTGCCTCCCTGAGCATTGGCTCCGCAGCTCCCATTGGCTGGGAACCATGGGCAATGGGAGCTGAGGCGGTGGTGTCTAGCCCCTTGGCTGCCCCTATGCCTAGGAGCTGGGGCCCGGAGGGACATGTCCCTGCTTCCTGGGGGCTGCCTGAGGTCCGTGCCACCCGGAGCCCTCACCCAACCCCCTGCCTCAGCCCAGAGCCTCCTCCCATGCCCTGATCCTGCACCCCTCCCCCAGCCAGACCCTCGCACACCCTGACCTCCACCTCCTCCTGCACCCCAAGCCCAGCCCGTGAAAGTGAGCGAGGATGCGGGAGAGGGAAGTAGGGAGGGGTTATGGAGTGACTGGGGGTGGGGCATTGGGAAAGGGGCGGGGCAGGGGGTGGGCAAAGTGTTCGGTTTTCGGCCATTAGAAAGTTGGCACCCTACACTCCCCCCAATTCCCCTCCCAGCCCCTCCCCCAGCCCCCTGTCCCCCGCCATCCCTCCCCCAGCCCCGCCCCCGTGTCTCTCCTGCTGGGGGCGGAGCCCTAGAGGGGGAGGGGAGGAGCTCGGGGGTGCCCCTCTAGCCCTCCTCTCTGTGGTCCGCCGCGCGGGGGGGGGGGGTGTCGCTCTGCCCTTCCTCTCGATGGTGACTTCCGGGCGGGGGAAGAGGGCGGGGACGCGCTCTCTGTAGTACCCGCGGGGGCGGGGCCCCGTCCACCGCCATCACTTGACGCCCCGCCCTTCACGTGCTCTGTGACGTCAGCGGGGCGAAGGCGGAAGTGAGAGGAGGAAACAGACTGACAGCGGCGGCGGGTGAGACCCTGGGGGGCGTTGGGGGCTGTGTCCGCCTCCCTCGTTTCTGTGGGGCGGGCGGGGTCTCTGTAGCGCCTGGGGGCAGGGGGGTGCGGGGAGGCTGTCTGTAGGGGGAGGGGAGTGGGGCATAGTGGGGTGGGTTAGGGAGCAGGGGGGCTGGGGGTGGGGCATAGTGGGGTGGGTTAGGGAGCAGGGGGGCTGGGGGTGGGGCATAGTGGGGTGGGTTAGGGAGCAGGGGGGCTGGCGGTGGGGCATAGTGGGGTGGGGGGGGGGGGGGGGGGGGGTGGGGCATAGTGGGGTGGGTTAGGGAGCAGGGGGGCTGGGGGTGGGGGTGGGGCATGTGGGGTGGGTTAGGGAGAGGGGGGGGGGGTGGGGGTGGGGCTGTGGGGTGGGTTGGGGGGGGGCTGGGGGTGGGGCTAGTGGGGTGGGTTGGGGGGGGCTGGGGGTGGGGCATAGTGGGGTGGTTGGGGCGGGGGGCTGGGGGTGGGGGTGGGGCATAGTGGGGTGGGTTAGGGAGAGGGGGGCTGGGGGTGGGGCTGGGGGTGGGTTGGGAGCAGGGGGCTGGGTCTAGGGGGTGGGTTAGGGAGCAGGGGGGCTGGGGGTGGGGCATAGTGGGGTGGGTTAGGGAGCAGGGGTAGAGAAGCTGGGAGGAAGGCTCTGGGGGGCCCAGCTGGGGCTGGGTGGATTAATTGAAATCATCTCATGTGAAACCTCTGTGAGATCACTGATTTTAATCAACTTTTCTCTTTGGGTGCTAGTTATTTTCCAATAAAGGGGCATTTCCCCCCCTCCCCCCACCTGTGGGATCACTAGACTCATTCACACCTATCGATTTACAGCTAATAACAGAGCTTGGACGCCAGAAGTGGGACATCTTTGTGCTACCTAGAAGAATTCCCTATAATTATATACGTTTAAGTAACTATGTAGCTTAATACTCTCAAATTCTTATGAATTAACTGGCCTTTTTCACTATGTTAGCAAATGAGCAATTTGGCATTTGCTATCCCCTAGAGAATTAACTATTCAGTGAGGTTTTGTGTCAAACTACATTTGGATGGTAACTGTTTAACTGACAGCACAAAACAATATTTAATATGTACTTTTATTAACCAAAACAACCCTAAATGTTTTAGATCCATAAACTTTTCATATCAGAACAGTTTTCATGTTTACAGCAAAATGATTCATTTTTAACCAGAGGGTTTAACTGTCTTCAGTGAATTAAATTTATTATTTCAAATCAGCCCAGGAGAAAATTTTCAGATGTGCCCAAGTGTAAGCGACTGAGCTTAAGTTCCTACTTACATCTCTTGAAAATGAGAGAGTCTCCTAAATAGCTAGCAGCAAATATCTCCAATGGCTGGTGATGGGACACTACATGGGCAGGGAGTTACTACAGCAAATTCTTTCCCAGGTGTCTGGCTGGTGGGTTTTGCCCATATACTCAGGGTCTAAATGACAGGCATATTTGGGGTCGGGAAGTAATTTCCCCCCAGGGCCGGATTGGCAGAGACCCTGGGTTTTTTTGCCTTCCTCTGTGGCATGGGTCACTTGCAGGGTTAAACTAGTGTAAATGGTGGAGTCTCTGGAACTTGAAGTCTCTAAATCATGATTTGAGGACTTCAGTAACTCAGGCAGAGGTTAGGGGTATATTACAGGAGTGGGTAGGTGGGGTTCTGTGGCTTGCAGTGGTTCCTTCTGACCTTGAAGTCTATGAGTCTATAATTACTTTGGCTGAGCTACTGGGCTGTATTTATAAAGCTTGACCTCAGGTGTTTGATATCTCTTCCCCCCTGATTCTTTGTGTAGAAAAACCACCTTGAATGCAATATTTTTGGTAGAGGCTCAGGGATTCAGCATATTTACTTTATATTTAAGCAGTGGCACTGGGCTCCATTCCCCTCTGGCAGCATGACCGGCCAGAGCAGTGCCCCAAACCCAGGACTCACAGAGACATTTCCACACCATTAACCTTCCTCTCCTGTCTCTGCAGCTCGCTCTGTATGCGTGCACCTGACTCCAGCGTTTCCTGCTTCCTCCAGCCGCCACCCCCTGTAACGAGCTTGCTCTCTCCTTTGGGTGAGTACTGTGCTGGCTGGCTGGCCCTGAGTGCCTCCAGGGGTTGGGAGTAGTGTTTCCCCTTCGTTCTCAGGGGCAGCGCTGCCAGCAGCTGGGATCAGCTGTGGCCTCAAATCAATGGGGAGGGGTCTGTGCCCAGCTCGGCTCCTGCTGAGCAGGTTGTCCTGTCTGTGGAGGTGCGTGAATAGAGCATGGCGGGGGAGGGTCTCCCTGGGGTGGGGTCCAGGGGGTTCCCTATCTCCAAAGGAGCTGCCTGCTGCTCTGACACCTCTCCTCCCTTAGAGGCAGTCAGCCCCCTTCACCGTGCCTCCCATGCCCAGGCTGAAGCGGGGGTTGCCTGGGGTTGTGCCCTGCCTTGCGGGGTCGCCAGGCAGGTCCCTATTGCATGTGCAGCCTGGAGTTGGGTCTGACCCACTCTGGTGCCTTGCACAGGGCTGGGCTGGGCCTGACCCCGGGACTGGCACAGCAGTGCCCTGTGTGTGTTGGGACAGGCTGGGCTGCTGGTGGGAAGTGCACAGAGGTCGTTGGGGGGTGCACCCAGAGAAGTGCTGTGGGGGTGGGGAGGGGGACGGACAGAGGGAGCCCCCTATGCACCCAAGACAGCCCCCAGATACTCCTGCCTTGTTACCATTGCATGGCCTGGAGCGGGACAGCCTGGCCCAGCCAGCTTTGCGGGGAAGAGCCAGGTTCCAGAGAACCCAGCTCTAAGCCCACAAGGAGTTAGAGCTGCCCTGCCCCCTGGGGTGTGAGGTGGAGACTAGCCCTGACCAGCTGCCTGCCCCACTCGCTGTCAGATCCAGAGGATTCGCTCCCCATCTCCCAGCCTGGGCTGCTCAGGGCTCCCCTAGCTGTTCCCCTCCCTGCAAATTCCTGAGCTGCTGTTGTCCCCCACAGCCGCAGGCCGCCCCTTTCCCCGCTCAAGATGGACCTGCTGTTCGGGCGCCGGAAGACGCCGGAGGAGATGCTGCGGCAGAACCAGCGGGCCCTGAACCGGGCCATGCGGGATATGGACCGCGAGCGGCAGAAGCTGGAGACACAGGAGAAGAAGATCATCGCTGACATCAAGAAGATGGCGAAGCAGGGGCAGATGGTGAGCGAGGGGCAGGGCCGGGGGTAACATCTCCAGCTCGAGTGCAACCTGTCCCCCTCAGGATGGGGTGAAGTTCATGGTGGGCAGGGGTGTCTCCAGTTGTAACCCACCCACAGGGAGGACACAGTGAAGAGCATGGGGAAGGAAAGGTACATGGGGGTGTTCCTTGCTGTAACCCATCCCCCGGGCAGGATGTGGTGAAGCTCAGGGGGGATGAGGGCTATGGGGGAGGTGGTGTCTCTGTCTGTAACCCATCCCCCTGGCAGGACGCAGTGAAGATCATGGCCAAGGACCTGGTGCGAACCCGGCGCTATGTCAAGAAATTCATCATGATGCGAGCGAACATCCAGGCTGTGTCGCTCAAGATCCAGACCCTCAAGTCCAACAACTCCATGGCCCAGGCCATGAAGGGCGTCACCAAGGCCATGGCCACCATGAACAGACAGGTACGTGGGCTTCTGCCAGCCAGGCTGGGCAGGGGGCAGGATTGCTGGCCATGGGGGGAGCTCCTGGCTATTCCAACCTGGCCTCTCCCAGCAAGGGGTACTGGGGGAGTAGGGCGGGATGCTGGCCATGGTGTGGGGGCTCCTGTCTACTTCAGTCTGGCCTCTCCCAGCAGGGGGCGCTGTAGGGCCAGTCTACTCAATTTCCCCAAGGCAGTGACTGTATATTCATATTCCCCTTCCCCTCCAGCTGAAGCTGCCCCAGATCCAGAAGATCATGATGGAGTTTGAGAAGCAGTCGGAGATCATGGACATGAAGGAGGAGATGATGAATGATGCCATCGATGACGCCATGGGGGACGAGGATGATGAGGAGGAGAGGTGTGGGGGGCAGGGCTGGGGAGACTGGCTGGCTCGGGAGGGAAAATGGAACATGGGACCTTTCCCCCCTAGTGGCTGCCTGCTCCCATCTGGCCCCAGGATGGGGATCTGGCTGGCTTAGGGGGCTGGGGAATGGGACCCGGGGCCTTTCCCCTCTAGGGAGTGCCAGTTCTCATCTGGCCCGGGGGTTGAGGGGACTGGCTGGATCAGGGGTGTGGGGAATGGGACATGGGATCTTTTCCCCCTATGGGATGCTGGCTCCCATCTGGCCCCAGGGCCCATCAGCAGGACAGGTGACAGACTGAGCCCCCCAGAGGGGTTCCCCAGGCCGAGCAACAGCCTTGGGGTGAGAATGAGCTCACCCAGCTGGTGCCTGCTCCAGGGATACACCCAGGGCATTGTCCTGGCACCTTTCATAGAATATCAGGGTTGGAAGGGACCTCAGGAGGTCATCTAGTCCAACCCCCTGCTCAAAGCAGGACCAATCCCCAACTAAATTTCCCCAGGTGTGTGGGGATCCTGGCTGCTGGGTGTGTGGGGTGCCGGTCCTCCTCTCCAGCCCAGTTATCTGGGGGCGTGGCTCTTTCCTCTCTGGGTATGGGGGGTCCGGCCCGTGTCCCTGCTCTCACCTACCTATCTCTGCCCCCCCAGTGATGCTGTGGTGTCCCAGGTGCTGGACGAGCTGGGCCTGACCCTGACGGATGAGCTCTCCAGTGAGTATCCCAGCATCGGGGGACGGGGCAAAGGGGGTCCTGACCGGAGGCGCTCACGGGGGCGGGGCTGGGAGCCAAGTTCCCCTGCAGCTGGGTAATGGGGCAGCACAGCTGTCGGGGGCACTGGGCAGTGCGCAGGAGGCTTTGCTGCCTGACCCTGCCAGTGCCTGGGAGATGGGGGGCTGTAGGGTGCTCTGGGTAGGCAGACCTGTCCTCGACAGGAGCCTCGCTCAGTGGGGGGACGTGGGGGCTGTGGGGTGCTCTGGGTGTCCTGAACCCCCTGTCCCCGCAGACCTGCCCTCGACGGGGGCCTCGCTCAGTGTGACGGCTGGGAAGAAGGCCGAGCCCTCCGCAGCGCTGGCGGATGCTGATGCCGACCTGGAGGAGCGGCTGAAGAACCTGCGCCGGGACTGAAGGGCTGGGGCTGCCCCCCTCCCTCCCCAGGCCGTGCTTCCCCGGACACCCCACCCACTGCTGGCCACTGCTCTCAACAGCCCAAGGGCTGCGACTGCTGCCTCTGCCCTTCTTTGCGTACTTCTCCCCCAGCCACCCCTCTGCCTATGTGGGGGGATTAGGTGGTGGGGTGGAAGGTCCCTGCCAGTTTTGGAGAGCAAATCTCCTACTCCAAAGTAATGGGGCTGGGGGTTTGGCTATGGGGCTGCTGCAGCTGTCCCGGGGGTGGGGGAATCATTTCTGTGGGTTGGGGGCTCTTAACTCTTTAGCTTCCAGCTCAAGTACACTACAGGTGGGGGTGTCTTTTCTGTAATGGCAGTCACCCCCCAGGAGCTGCCAGCTCAGGCTGGATTCATCCCCCCCCCACAGAGAGGGGGAGACTGGCTCTGGGGAGAAGCAGATGGGCAGATGCTGCACCAGTCTAGGTTGTGTGGGTGTCTGTGGGGGGGCTGGGATTATAGGATGGGGGCAGCTGGGCGCACCCACTAGAGCCTGGATCTGGGGGGCACAGGTTGGGAGCCTCCCCCCCGGCACAGAGCTCTCCATCCTGTGCACAGGGAGAGGGGGCTGCGCTGAGGCCCTCCTGCCTCCATCTGGCTGTGGGGGAGGGGTTGTAATAAAGGCTGTAGATTTGTAGCCATGGTGCCTGCTGGCTGATTCTTGCCCCATAGATTTGGGGGGGGGAGGGGGCAGCTGACCAGGCAGAGCCCCACCCAATCTCCTCTGCAGTGAGCTGGGGCCTGAGGGGGAGCTGTCCTATGTGCCTACCTCCCCCTGGGTTGGAGTGGGGGAGGGGCCATGGCGATCCCTCCCCACCTCGTCTGAGCACTCTGCCCCTCCCCATCTCTCCTTCTTCTAGGGGATCCTGGAGCCTAGCTTCTCCCCCCTCCCCCACCTGGATGCATCATTGTTTCTGGGGGGAGGTTGGTGCCCTTTGCCAAGTGCTGGGTAGGAAGCAACTGATGGGGATGGGGGGGGCACTGGAGGCATGTTACGGGGGGAGTGGGGAGTTTGTGTGTGTGGGGGGATACAGCTGGCGCTTATTGATCACACACACCCAGCCCAGGTAAAATGTTGCCAGTTTATAGCCCTGCCCCCCATCCTCCCCCCCTCCCCCCCGAATCTGGAGCAGCTGCCCCCTCCACGGCCGCTGGTGTGTCTTGGTGGCTCTTCGCCCTCTCAGCCGGGCTCCGCCAGGTGACCCTGCACCCATTGGCCACACCAGCACCTGCAAGAGATGAATCATAGAATATCAGGGTTGGAAGGGACCTCAGGAGGTCATCTAGTCCAACCCCCTGCTCAAAAGCAGGACCCATCCCCAAAAGTAAGTAACTACTGAACCTGGTGAGGGGAGGGGAAAGACCCTGGTCCCTTCATGTTCCTCGTCTCTGACTGCCACTTGCCTGGAGCAGCCAGCAGGGCAGGGCAGCGCCCTCCCACCCCACCAGGCCCCCTGCTCCCCACTGCCCCAAGCCTGGTGCTCTATTTCCAAACTCCCTTTAAGCACAGTGGGGCAAAAATGGACCGTGGGCTGGAAACATGGAGATGCTCTGCATCAGAAGGAGCTTGGGATGGAAAATGGGGGAACAAAATAATATAAAGTGTGAGACATGATCTAAAAAATCCACTTCTGCCCCAAACAAGTCTGTGTAAACGCACGGAAATCCGTCGCCAGAAGCTGGAAATGGACAGTGGGGTTGCTCTGAGTACACTGAACACCTTATACAGGTGCATGAGGACTTCAACTGTCTATTCCTCCTCTGCAGTTCCACACCATGTGAATGTGAACCAGGGGGTATAAATGTGATGTAGGGGTGTGTGCGTGTGAACCAGGGAAGGTTGTAGGTGTGAACCAGGGGGTGTAAATTGAACCAGGAATTGTGTGTGTGAACTAAGGGTGTGAATATGAACGAGGAGAGGTTGTAGGTGTGAACCAGGGGGTGTGGATGTGGATGACGGGGTGTGGATGTGAACCAGGGGTGTAAAGTCAACCTGGGGGTGTTGATGTGAACGAGGGTGTGACTGTAACTGCCTCTTAACTTTTTCAATTGTAAGTCAAAAGCAAATTGTCCCTTTAACTCAAAAATGTTCTCTTGCAAACCTGGCGCTCGCTCTGTGTGGCCAAAGGGACCAGCAGCCACATGCCAACCAGCTCCAGCACCTGGGTACCTTCAATGCCATCACTGGGGAGACGGTCGCCTGGCAACTGTTGCTGGGGGCTCAAATGCACTGGGATGCGGGAGCTGTCCTGCATCTCTGGGGGTGGGGGGTTGCTTTGGGGAGGCCAAGCCAAACTCAAGCACAGGCTGCTCTGGGGCTGAGAGGAGACTCAGCTGTGGGCATGTGGCTCTGGGCTGGTGCTGTGGCCCTCTGGGGCTGCCCAGGGAGGCATCCGAGAAAAAGAAGGGGCTTAGGGGAGTGGTGCAGGGTGGGGGGCACAGCACTACCCCCCCTGCTATCCCAGCCCTGGGCTCCCCCTGCCCTCCCTATGTGGCTGAGGGAGGGGAACTCACTGTGTGGGGGCTGCTAGACCTTGATGCCCAGGGCACGGAGACACTCGTGGTACGATTCCATCAGCTCCTTGCACGACTCTTCCCCGTTCTCCCTCACGCTGTGAAGAAATGCGGGTGGTGGTGGTGTCATTAAATTGGGGGGGGACTTGCCTGGCTCATGATCATGGACCAATCTAGCCCAGTATACTGTCCCCTGGATCAGAGCCACAGGCCCATCTACCCTGGTATCTTGCCCCCTCCCTGACCCCCAGATCAGACCCAGGGCCCATGTAGCCCAGTATCCTTTGTACCCACCTCCCTAAAAGCTGAACCAAGAGGCTGGGAAACCGATGATTATCTCCTATCTCCTATAAGCTCCTATCTTGTCCCCACCCTCCCTCCAGCCAAACCCTTATCTGCAAGGGGTGTCTATGGGGAGGGTTGCAGGGTGTGCGTATGGGGAGCGCTGGCGGGTGGGTTAGATTAGCCAGACACACCCCACCCCCTGCAGCCTGTCCAGGGGTGCGGCATGGTGTCCATATGGGGCTGGGGGAGCCCTGGCACAGGGAGGGCGACCAGGCTTAGGGTGCTGCGCTCAGAGCAGGCCAGGGCCATGCAAGAGCAGCAGAGGGCTGGTGCTGGGCGAAGCTGGAGACGCCCCATTGCCGGGGCTGGTGGGAATGGGGAGCCTGGTGCTGCAAGGGGTGCCCCACATAGGAACTTATCACCACCGTGCAGAGGGGTCCCTCCCTGCGCCCCTGCTCCCTGACTGTGAGGTCCTGGGCCATGATTAGGGTGTGGGGGGGAGGGAGAGGTGAGATTCTACTTCTACCATAATACATCTAATAAATAATATACAGTGCCTAGCACAGTGGGGTCCTGGGCCATGACTGGAGCTCTTAGGCACTACCATAATACACCTAATAAATAATGTACAGCGCCCAGCACCATGGGGGCCATGACTGGAACCCCTAGGTGCTACCATAATACACCTAATACAGAATAATAACAACAGTTTAGTGGGAGGCAAGTGGCCTAGTGGAGATAGCACAGGACTGGGCTTAATCTGCTGGGTGACAGTGGGTAAACCAGTCCTGCCTCAGTTTCCCCATCGTACAATGGGGAATAACCGACCTTTGTAAAGCGCTCTGAGATCTGGTGGACGGTGCTGGGTGAGCTCTAGGGCTGATAAGAGAAGATCCAGACCTGCAGGTTGGGTGCAGGGGGGGGCAGGCTGGGATCCCTCTCATCCCAAAACCAGGCTGCTTGGGAGGTAGTGGACGGGTGGACGCCCTGCCAATCGGTTAGGGCTGCAGGTTGCAGATAAGGGGCAGCTGCAGAGCTGCAGGGAGGGGGAAGGGAGGTGGCTGGGCGGGGTGCTGATGAGCCACAATTGTTTGGGGCTGGATCCTGGTGCCCTTTGGAGCTGATGCAAACGCCCCCCCCCCACTGCGCCCTCCTCCTCCCCTCAGCCATGAGCCAGGCTAAGCAGTTAAAGCCCTGAGCTGGGGCTCAGGACGCCATGGATTGAGCCCCACTATACCACAGTGGTCATTTGAGGCCCAGAAAACCCGGTGGCTGCTGGTTTGGGGCATGTGTGTGGGGCATGGCCCCAGGTGAGAGTCAGGAGGTATCCAGTTGCCACCACATCTGGAGCCGGGTGGGCAGCAGGCCTGAATTGCCAGGGTCTTGGTTAGTGGTCGGGGAGGGACAGTGAGGGAGGGGTTAATGGAGGGTGGTGGGGGGAGGGGGAGTGTGGCCACTGAGGGGTTAATGCCCATGTGCCCGCATCCCCTTTCCGGCCTCCCCGTTACTCCCGCCTGGCTACCCCGGCGGCTCCTTTCTCCGGAGCTAATGAGGCCAGGGCTGAGTCAGCAGCACCACGCCCTCCTGCTGCCCGGCCCACATGCCCCAGCTCTGCTTGGCCCCAGCAGCCCGTACCTGGGGGGCTGGCGAGGGCTCCAGTCACTCTGCAGGGGTAGGAGGTGAAGGAAGTGTCTGTGTGGGGCAGGCGGGGGTGGAGGGGGTGTCCTGAGGGGTCACTGTGGGGCAGGTGGGGGTGCAAGAGGGGTCTCTCGGGGGCACCGTGGGGCAGGCGGGGGTGGAGGGGGTGTCCTGAGGGGTCACTGTGGGGCAGGTGGGGGTGCAAGAGGGGTCTCTCGGGGGCACCGTGGGGCAGGCGGGGGTGGAGGGGGTGTCCCTAGGGGTCACTGTGGGGCAGGTGGGGGTGGAAGAGGGGTCTCTGGGGGGCACCGTGGGGCAGGCGGGGGTGGAGGGGGTGTCCCTAGGGGTCACTGTGGGGCTGGTGGAGGTGAAGAGGGGTCTCTTGGAGGCACCGTGGGGAAAGCCTCCATTCCCTCCCCCTCCTCTGGCATGCCCGCTCCCTGCTGCCATGGGAACGGGGTGGCAGAGCCGAATGTAGGTCATTGGCGGCCGGGCTGGTAGCAGTTTAGCTGTCCCCACGTGTCCTGGCGGGTGCCAGCCAAGAGGGGCATCTGCCCTGTGGGGCCATGTCTCAGAGCAGCCACTGCACCAGGGTCAGGGGGTGGCTGACACCGGGGGATGGGGTGGAAGCAGTGTGTGTGTGAGCAGGAGTGGCCGTGGGTGGGGGACTGGGAGCAAGGACGCCTGGGTTCAATCTCTGGCTTGGGGAGTGCGGTCTAGTGGTTAGAGGCAGGAGGGCTGGCAGCCAGGACACCTGGGTTCTCTCCCCAGCTTGGGGAGAGGAGGGAATCTAGCAGGTGGACAGGCAAGTGGAAGGCCTGACTCCTGGGGTCTATGGTGCCCCCGTCCCCCCTGTGACCTTGGGTGTGTCCCAGGTGAAGCTGCGGGGATCAGGCCAGATGGGGGGAGGGTGCGGTGACCGTGCTAACCCCATCACTCTAATTAACTAGCCTCCTCAGCGCCACCCGCTCGCTCCCCCTGGCCCGGCAGAGCAGATGGTGCCAGGTGCTGGGTCACGGCACGCCCCTGTCGAGCACATTAGCCGGGCCTCGGAGATGGAAGGTGCTGCCGGGGGAGGCATCGCCCAGCTGGCTCTGTGGCCTGCATGCCAATGCGGGGTGGGGCACAGTGGGGCTCAGTGTGGTGGAGCTGGCTGGGGGCACCCCATGGGGGAGGATGGGGTGTGGCCTGGGCCGGACCAGGGAGCACCTGGGTGTCGCGCTCAGCTCGCCGGCTGGATCAGCCCGGCCGTAGGAGACTCGAGCGGGGGATTTATAAATCATAGTAATAACTCCTGGCAGCCCCGCGAGCAAAGCGCCTTACCCCAATTACAACCCAAGGGGGGGGGCATACATGTGCCGAAGGTCACATGGGGGCAGAGGGAGGGAGAGAAGCCAGGTGTCTTGGCTCCCAGCCTCCCCCCTCTACTCTATAACCACTGGAACCCTCCCTGAGCTGGAGAGAGAACCCAGGAGTCCTGGCTCCCAGTCCCCGATCTCTAACCACTAGCCCTCACTCCCCTCCCAGAGCCTGGGAGAGAACTCAGGAGTCCTGGCTCCGAGCCCCCCAGTTTTAACCACTAGCCCCTACTCACTTCCCAGAGCTGGGGAGAGAACCCAGGAGTCCTGGCTCCCTGCTCTCCCTGCTCTGACCACTAGACCTCCACTGCTCTCTCAGATAGGGATAGAACCCAGGAGTCCTGGCTTGTCCCCCTGGGGGTCTCCAGTCTTACTCTGGGGCCTGGAGGGGGGCATCCCCATCTGCTGTGATGCTCCCATGCCCCGCGAAGCCCTGGGCTCTGTTACCCACTCACCCGGCATCCATAGGGTCAGTGTGTCCCTGCTGTAACCGCCCACGGCAGCATTAGCTGTTGAGTTATTTGGGGATGAGGATCTGGCAACGGGGTCTGCTCCCCTGCGGGGGGAGGGGGGAGCAGGGACATTCTGGGGCCAGAGATGGGCACGGCAGCCCAAGGCCAGCTGTGGGGATGGTGCCAACTCTTGGGGGTGGGGTGAATGGGGACAGGGCATGGCTGGGCGGGGGGCGGGAGGAGGCTTGGTGATACAGCCACTGCCCTTGACCTGTGACCCCGAGGGACTGACTCCAGGGGATGGGAACGCCCTCGGCAACTGTCTGAGCCCCATGCCAACCTCCACTGAGCCCCCTGCCTCATGCCTACTGAGCCCCCTGCCCCCCGCTCCATCCCCAGTGAGCCCCCTGCCCAACCCCCACTGAGCCCCCTTCCCCACTGAGCCCCCTGCCCTCCTGCCTCACCCCCACTGAGCCCCCTGCCCCTCACTGAGCCCTTGGTCAAGCCTTCTGCCACACTGAGACCCCTGCCTCCCCCGCAAGTCTCTGGTCCAACCCCTGCTGAGACCCTGGCCCCTCAGCCCCCTGTCCAATCCCTACTGAACTCCCAGCCCCACTGAGCCCTCCTCCAATCATCACTGAGCCGCTCCCCACTGAGCCCCACCCCCGTCTCTAGTTGACAGTGGGGTGGGGAGCCAGTAGGGGATGATGGGACTGACAGCACCCAGGGGCGGGGAGACACACCCGGAGGGATGACCCACCCATCCCTATACACACCCCGCCATCAATCCCCATAGATACCCCACCATCCATCCCCATACACACCCCTCCATACCTATACACACCCTGCCGTCCATCCCCATAGATACCCTGCCATCCATCCCCATACACACCCCACCATCCCCATACACACCCCACCATCCTTCCCCATACACCCCCCTCCATCCCCATATACACCCATTCCTCCCTATAGACAACATCCTGCCGCCAACCCTCCGTCCACATACACAGCCCTTCCTCTATCCCTTGCTCCATCCCCATTCACCCGCTCCATCCCTCCCCATACACACCCCACCATCCCTCCCTCCCCATACACAGCCCTCCTTTCATCCATCCCCATATACCCCTCCAGTCATCCAACCCCAAATACCCCACCGGGTCTATCGCTGCCGCTAGCTGCCTTCAATCCCCTCCCTGCGAGGCCCCCACATTCACACCTTCTAACAAGGCACCACTCCCATGGCACTGGCTCCCCATTCACACCCCTCATTCACTCCCCTCTGTCAGCCCCCTTCACTAACCCCCCAACCAATCTGGCTGTGTCACTACACACCTCTCTCACGCTCCTCGTGCCCCGTATATCTGGGGCTGGATGGGTGGGGCCTGGTGTGGAGAGGTTTGGGCCTGGGACCACTGCATGGCTGGGGCTCAGTCTCCCGAGTGGAAGGACCTTTGCCCCACGGAAGCCCCCACGTTCCCTGTGGGGTTGGTCATGCTGAGAGGGGTGATGGGCTGGCTGCTTCCTGGGGCGTGGGGGTGCCCTGGGGCCACAGAGCTGTTTCCAGGCCGGCCGCCTGAGGCCAACTTCTGCCGTTCCCTTCCGGTCCGTGCACCACATGGCCAGAGCCGAGGGCCCGGCTCTGCCTATCCTGGCCTGGGGAACCGCAGAGCCAGGACCCCACCGACTCCCACCTGTCTGCCTCACCTGGGCTGGGCCCCTGCCCCACACACCAGGGCACGGGGCATGGAGTTAATGGCACAGCTCCCTGTGCCCACCCCACTGAGCCCCCCACCTCCCTGAGCCCCCCCATAGAGTTTCCCTGCCCAAACCCCACTGAGCCTCCCTGTGCCCAATCCACTGAGATGATCTGCCCCACTGAGGCCCCTTCTCTACTGAGCCCCCACTGAGCTTCCCTGCCCTCACCCCACTGAGACCTCCCCACCCCACTGAGACCCCCTGTGCCCAATCCACTGAGAACCCTACCCCACTAAGCTCCCCTGCCCCCACCAGCTCCCAAGTAAGCTCCAGTGAATCTCCCCACCCCACTGAGCCCCTCAGCCCCACAAATGCCCCCAACCTCTACCCCAGTGAGCCACCTCCCCCACTGAGTCCCCCACCTCACTGAGTCACCTGCCTTATTAAAACCCTGATCCTTCACCCCACTGAGCCCTCCCTGCCCCACTAAGGCCCCCATCCCCTAACCCACTGAGCCCCTCTGCCCCACTGAGCTCCTTGCCCCCACTCCACTGACCCACCCTGCTGCCCCACTGATCACAGACCCACTGAGCCCTGCCACTCCTACCCCTATCAATCCCCCCTGCCCCCACTGCATGGAGCCCCTGCCCCCCATTCCCTGCAGTGGCTCCCCATGGATCAGGTTGGACAGGGTGCCAGCCCCCTCCCTCCCCGCCCGGCAGTGCTCCCCCCTGAACACAACCCCTCATCTTGGCAGCTGCACCAGGACTCACCATTTCTCCATGGCCGCTTTGAGCTCGGCGCAGGGGGGCTGCCCCTCGGGTTCATTTGGGGCTCCCCCCTGGGGGGCCCCTCCTGGGCTGGGGCTGTCGGACATGCTGAGCCGTGTGTCTGTCTGTCCGTCTGGGTGTAGGGTGGGAACGGTACCCGGGCAGCGGCAGGGGGTGGAGGATCACGCTCGGGTATTCGAGATATGTCATAACTGCTCCGGGGTTAATGCACAGCGGCTTAGCCTGGGCCAGACGCCTCCCCCCACACCCTGCCCTCCCCTCTCACCGCCGGCTGAACCTAGCTGGGACCCAGGCTGGAGGTTACATCACGCCACATGATCTTTAATTAAAGATTAATCTTTAATTCCTGGAGACTCCAGGACAATCCTGGAGGGTGGCAACCCCAACGGGTCTCTGGGGACCTGACCCCCAGATGCTCCTTCCCCCTCCATGGTGCAGAGGCCACCCGCCCCACCTCCCCTCCCCTGGAAACACAGAGCCCTGCAGGCCACGGATCCCAGCAACAGACTTGCTGGGCTGAAGTGGGACAGCCTCTGCATTGTGGGAAGAGAGGGTATTGGGGTGTGTATGGAGTGTTGGGCTGTGCGTGAGCAGGGGGTGTTGCGGGGGGGGGGTTGTGTGTGGGCGTGTAGGGAGTGCAGGGGTTTGTGAGCATGTGTGTAGGGATGTTGGTGTGTTTGTGTAAGAGGGTGTTGCGGTGTGTGCAGAGGGTTGGTGAGTGTGTCCGTGTGCAGGGAGTTTAGAGTGTGTGTGTGTATGTGCGTAGAGGGTGTTGCGGGGTGTGTGTGCAGGGTGTGTGTGTGTGTAGAGGGTGTTGCGGGGTATATGTGTGTGCAGGGGGTGTTTGTGTGTGTGTGTGCAAGAGGGCATTGTGGTTTGTGCAGAGGCTTGTGTGTGTGTGTCTGTGTGCAGGGAGTTTCGAGTGTGTGCATGTATGTGCGCAGAGGGTGTTGCAGGGTGTGTGTGCAGGGGGTGTTGGTGTGTGTGTGTGCAGCAGATTGTCTGATGTGTGCCGGAGGGTCTAGGCGGCGGGGAAGGCCAGGTTCCGGCGAGGTGTGATAGGGCCCTGATGGCTCTGGGTGAGTTCTGGGGGATCCGGCCCAGCTCACTGGGGCTGGGTTGGTCCTGGAAAGGGCCATGTGCGGCTGTGGGGCTGCATGCTCCAGTGGGCTGGGATTTGGTGGCTCACGGACCCCTCGCACTGGGGTTCCCTCCCGCACTCCCCAGGGACCTGCTGGCCCCCCCGTCTCTGACCCTGGGGTCACCTCCCCTGCTCCACCAGGGACAGCAGGGTGCCCACAACCAGCCCCCAAACCCAGACCCCTCCCATACCCTACCAGCCCCAGCTGTGCACAACCAGCGAGATTCAGGGCAGGATGGCCATGCTGCTCAATGCCACCCCCTCTGCCCTGCTCCCCCCTGCCCTGCATCCCAGGTGGGGCCATGGCGCAGACACGCCACACCCCAGAGCCGGGCGCAGCAGGGGAGCGATCCTGGCACAGACAGGAAAGGCCTTGGCGCCCCCAGGACATAAAGAACAGCTGAGTCATTTGGGAATTATGCAACACTGCCATCCACACAGCCACAGCTAATGTGGGGTGCAGTGCCCCCCAGTGGCCATGCTGGGTACATGCAGTGTGAATGCTGCGTGTGCTGATGGGGAGCTGCAGTGCCCCCCAGTGGCCATGCTGGTATGTGTAGTGTGAATGCTGCACATGCTGATGGGGAGCTGCAGTGCCCCCCAGTGGCCATGCTGGTACGTGCAGTGTGAATGCTGTGTGTGCTGATGGGGAGCTGCAGTGCCCCCCAGTGGCCATGCTGGTACATGCAGTGTGAATGCTGTGTGTGCTGATGGGGAGCTGCAGTGCCTCCCAGTGGCCATGCTGGTACGTGCAGAGTGAATGTTTGTGCTAATGGGGGAGGGGGCAGCAGTGCTCCCAGTGGTCATGCTGGGTACGTGGCGTGCGAGAGGTGCTTGGCTTGTTTCCTAGTTCTGACCCAGGCCAAAGCCCATTCTAGCTGGATTCCCCTGGAAGGGGTCCCAGGGCTGAGGCTGTGGATGCGGGGGGGGGGGGGAGGACGTGTGCCCCCAGACATGGGTGTGAGACTCAGGAGCGAGGCCTTCCGGCCCCACAGTTCTTGATCCACCATCACCACCGCAAGGAGCCGTTTATTTCCCAAGCCGTATTTGTGACAATGGGGGAAGCTCGACCAGCGGGGACGCCCTGTGCCTGGCATGGTGTGGGGGTGGGGTCTGAACCCCTTTGCCAGAGCAAGCACCCCACAAGGACAGGCCCCAGCCCTGCCCCCTGAGTGACACAAGCCGCCCCGCCCCCATTGGCCCCAGTGGGGACCCGGCTCCCACTCGCAATCTCCCTGGGGTGGGGGCGCTGGTTGGGCGCAGATAGGACACACAGCCTGATGGCTCCCTAGTTGTTAGGGGCTCACTGCCTCCCTCCCAAGCCCTGACCCCGAATGGCCTCCCCTCAGCCACAGGTCCAGCCCATCCCCACGAGGCCTTCACTGGCAGGGACGGCACCGGGAACTCCTGGAGGGTGGGGGGCTGGCGGGGAGCCCAGACAGCATCCTGCCTTCAGTGCGGGGTCCACAGCCAGGATGAGGCTGGGACCATCCAGCCAGACTCCTGCGTCCTGGGCCTGCCCCCCCGCCCCATGTCTTTGGGCCTTGGGCGTAGCTGTAGCGAGAGCAAGACGGAGCCCCAGTGATGGGGAATCACCCCATCCCTCCGGGGAGCCACCCCAGCCCCGATTTCCCCTGCTGGCCCCTGGGCACCTGGCTCCCCAAGGACTCAAGCACCCTGGAGCCCTGGCTAGTGGCTGTGGCCCTGCTCCAGCTGGCTGGGGGAAGGGGCCCTCAGGGGTCAAGTGAGGGGTGTCTGGGTGCCTGGCATGTGCCAACCTTTCCTGGGTCGAGTTGGGGGGCTTCAGGGCAGATTGAGCAACACCTGCACAGCCCCTGTGCCCCCTCCTCTCCACTGCGCCCCTGCTCTGCCCCCTGCCTTGCCCCATGCCCCCTGTTCTCCCCTTTGCCCCCTGCTCTTCCCCCTGACCCTGGCCTCCCCGGTGACCCCTGCTCTCCCCCACTCACCAGAGACACCCTCTCCACATCCCTTCCGGAGATACCCTCGCCCTGCTGCTCCACCTCTCTCTGGCCACTGGAGACCCCAGCTCCACCCTGCTTGGTGCCTCGTTCTAACCTGGGTGCCAGCTGGATTCTCCTGGGGGGGTCACAGGGCTGGGGCCAGAGGAAGGTGCCAGAGGGGCTCAGGAGGGAGGCCTCCGCCTGCTCCCCGCTCCCTGCTGGAGTTGAAGCTGCCAGAGACTGCTCCCGTGGGGGCTGGAGGCTGCCGATTCACGGCTCTTGTGCCACCATCAAGGCCACAAGGAACCGCCTATTTCTCAAGCCATGATGGTGCCAGCCCGATGGAGGGGTAGGGGGAGAAGGGGGAGTGTCATGCTCAGCCAGGCTGGGCTATAAACCCCCTCCCCGGGGGAGAGCACCTGCAGGGCCCAGGCACCAGCACAGCCACCAAGGGGCAAGACCTGCCCCGCCCCATAGTCCCCAGGGGCACCACTTGGGCACAGAAGGGGTGTGCAGACCCCTCTGATGGCTGTGTGACCCCCAACCCCCCCCCCCAGCTGTGCTTTCAGCCCCTCACTATGGGCCATTGCTCTCTGGGCAGCACCGGGAGCCCCTGAAGAACAGGGATCACCGTCGTTTCTGGGATTCTGCAGCTGTCACCGCAGGTTCATAAGGAATTTTCCCCACGTCCTGCGGATACCCCAGCATGGGAACCCCCCGCCCTGGGATCAGGACTCTCATGCGGGCACAGCTTTCGGGAAGCCGTGGACTGCTGAGAGCGAAGATACTTTCTGGAAGATCAGTCGATGACTCACTCACTGGGCCCCATGAGAGCTGGCCCCTCAAGATCTATGCACGATTCTGGGCATCAAAAAACCACCAACCAGCCCTCACCCGCGTGCTGCTCAGCACACTGGGAACCCCGGAGCCTCTGAGGAGGAAATGCTGGAGCCAGCCTGTGGGCAGCTGGCCTAGTCTGTAACACAGAGGCTGAAGTTTGAGCAAGACCCCGGTTCCCGGTTGATCTCTGTTGCGGGTGTCTTCAGCTCCCAGAACCCGGATGTGGGGCATGGGACTGGCCTGAGGGATTGACTGAAGGAGGCAAATGGGACGAAATGAGCCTCGGGTCGCCTGAACCAGCAGGCCAAACCCCAACGTGACCGGCGGGCGAGGCTCGGGCACAGAGTGTGGGTTGGGATTGTGGCTGGCAGGGGAAAGGCGACATTGCTGATGACTGGCGGTTGGAGCCGTATGCCCCAGGGGACCCACCCGTGTAGCAGATATGCCCTGAGGGCAGTCACAGCCCTGCCAGACCTTCCCACTGGACTTATCTGTGACCCACGGGACAAGGATTGTGTCCCGACAAGGATCTTGCCCCAAATCCTGAGCTCCCCTGTCCCGTGTGTCGGACAATCTCCCATCGCCCCCTGCTCCCCCCCATCCGCCAGAGACACCCAATCCACATCTGCCCTGGAGACACCCTCTCCTGCCCTCCTGCGCTGCTGGGAACCCCCGCTTTGCCCTGCTCCTCATTCTAACCCGGATCCTGGCCAGATTCCCCATGGGTCACAGGGCTGGGCCGGGAGGTGCCTTCACCCCCAGAGGAAGGGTGAGGGGATTGGGAGGGAGGCCTCAGCCTGCCCCCGCACTTCCTGCCAGGGACAAGACCACCATGGCTGCAAGGGCCATTTATTTCTCAAGCTGCAGTTGCAGTAGCGGGGAAAGTTGGGCTGGAGCTGTTGGCAGCTCGGGGTGGGCGGGGGGGGAGGTGGCAGCGTCCCGCTCAGCCGGGCTGGGCTATGAACCCCCTTCCCAGGGCGCGGCCTGGATCCTGGTGACTGATAAACGCCGGCTAGTTTGGCAAAGGCTGTGCTCCATCTCTGCCAGTCCCTTTTGGGCACCTGGCTGCTGAGGGGGGACGTCTGTACCTGGGCTCATGGGGAGCCCTGGAGAGAACGGGGCGGGTGGATGGTGCCAGAGGTTCCCTTCTGGAGAAGGGGAGCCATGAGGGTCACCCTTGCAAAAAGAAGGGGGCCCAGGCTTGGCCCAATGAAGGGGGCACTGCCAGGGAGCCTGGGAGGCCTTGCATGCCCTGGAAAGGAGAAACACACGGGCAGAGACGAGGGCGCCAGATGCACGGACAGAAACCGGAGGACCCAGGATGCTCTGACACTTTATTGGTGTTAATCGTACGGGGTGGGAGGGACTAAGCAAAATGATAAGTGTTGCAAGAAGAAAGGGCCCACCACCTCCACCCCGGCATCCCACCCACCCACCCCTCCCAAGTGTGTGGCAGCCTCTGATCTAGAACCCCTGCCCCCCGAGTGTGAGACAGCCTTGGACCTAGAACCCCCCGAGTGGGTGACAACCTTGGATCTAGAACCTCACCCCCTCCTGAGTGTGTGACAGCCTCTCATCTAGAGCTCCCTCCCCTCCCAAGTGTGTGTCAGCCTTGGTGCTAGAACCCCGCCCATGCCCATGTGTAACAGCCTCAGATCGCGAACACCACCCATCCTGGCATGTGCACCTGGCTTCAGCCTAGAACCTCTGTCCAAACCCTGAGCGATAATAGGACTCCAGTCGAGAACCCCCATCTCCGCATTTGCTCTAAGTTCCCGTCTAGAACCTGTCCCCAGCCCAGGGTGAGCTTGGCGTGAGGATTCCCAGCTGGAGCAGGTCCACTGATGTCAGGACCGATTGGCACCCGCTGGGACCTGCCCCATTCACTCCAATGGCTCGGGGCCGATTGGCGCCCGCTGGGACCTGCCCGACATCCGATTTTATTGCACAGTGCTGCTGGCACAGACAGTGGCAACCTGATCTTGCTGAGTGACAGATGGGCACATTCGGCTTCCTGCCCTGTCCCCAGCTGTCTGTGGCCGACTGGACAGGCTGCGAGAGAGCCAGACACACGGACAGAGATGTGGGCGCCGGACACAAGGACAGAGATGCGAGGCCCCAGGATGCACTGAAGCTTTGTGGCCCTTGCTCACATGGTGGAAAATCAGCAACTTCACCCCGTCACCCCCAGCATGAGACAAACCAGACCCACCTGGCTGGGGCAAACGAGTCTGCCTGGCCCTCACCACCTCCTGTCCCCCGTCTGCCTGGTCCTCACCATGCCCCATCCCCCATCTGCCCTGGCCCTTGCCACCTCTCATCTCCCAGGCCCCGTTTGCCCTGGCCCTCGCCATGCCCCCACGCCCCATCCCACATCTACCCCGGCCCTTGCCACCTGCCATCCCCGTTCGTTGGCTGAGACAATCTTTCCAAGACTAGTCAATTCCCCTGTGTGTGATGGATGCAGTGAAGCTGCTGGAGTCTGCAGAGAGCCTGAGCCAGTTGCTGGGAAAGAAGTGAGCTGCCCCCATGTTTAAGTGGGCTGCTGTCTGCTGGTCCCACCCCAGCAGTTACAGCCTGGCAACTGGGGATAATGCTAAGGCGCCCCCTGTCATTCTGCGGGGGCGGGAGCGGTCCCTGCTGCGTACTCCATTGCTCCTGGCTCAGCCCCATGGAGTTTCCTTTAAAGACAATATTGAATAAAGCAGTCGAGTGGCGCCTGGGGCCGCCTCCCCTTGGCTGGGCACAGGGACAGCCGCAGTGGGCACCACCCCTCTCCAGAATTGGGGTTGGGGGAGGGAGAATGGGTCTATAAAGAGAGGGGCTGAGAGCCCATCACTGGGAATCTGGTGTGATCCTCTGTCAGTGAGTGATGGCACCTCCTGCTCCTGCCCCATGGAAACCCTGGTGAGTCCCCCACCTTCTCCTGCCCCATGGAAAACCTCATGAGTCCCCCCGTCCCCTTGCTCCTG